AAAAAAAAAAAAAAAAAAATTTGCTCCAGCGGATCCAGCACCGGCGGCCGTGGGGGCTGGCTAGGTGCTGGATCCGCCCCTGATCTGCATGCACAGAACAGGCCATGTGCACACAACTCCAGCAAACATGCACGCAATTGCCTGTGTGTCCACAGAAACAGACCGCTAGCACACAGCAGGTCGTGTGCACATAGCAACTGCCCACTGCACGGTCTATACAGATTATAGGGAAGGCATCCAATAGCCAGACAGCTACAAAAGAACAAAATGCAATGGAAAATGAATGTGGGGAAGGGGGCATTCAGCTCAATCTAGAAAAGAAGGGTCAGATTATCTCCAATCTCACCCTACCGCTACATGGAATGGGAACTCAAAAGTGAAGCTTGGAAAGCACAGTGTGAAAACTTCAAAAAATGAGGTCAATAGGGGTAACTCTCTTGCTATCTCATCATGAATATAGCATCATGGAACATTAGGGGATTGAACCCACCCCTTAAGCAAAATGGGGTTCGAAGCTTCATTTACCAAAATGATATTGATGTGATGGGAATTTTGGAGACTAAGCTAGACCAACATAATCTTCACCGTGTGATGAGGAATAAATTTGGGGGTTTCCCAGAGATCAACAACTTTCATACTCATCAAGTTGGCCGAATCTTGATTTTATGGAATCCCAGAAAAGTCCAAGTGAAAGCCGTGTAGATTACTTCTCAAATTATACATTGATCTGTCACTTGAAAGGTTAGCTTGCTTACAACCTTTGTTAGCTTTGTTTATGGTTTTCATAGTATCATCAACCTTAGGCCCTTGTTGAACAACATCTTGGAGTTTGGAACTTGATACTCTTCACCGTGGTTGATTTTGGGTGACTTTAATAGTGTGCTCAACTTTAATGAGAAAAGTAATGGGGTGGGTTGAAAATCTAGGAGTATTCGGAAAAGAAATTTGGGAGTATTCGGAAAAGAAAGATGACTCTCCTCTAATTAAAAAGTTGTTGAAAATTGCTGGGTAGATTGCACAGCCTTAGGTTTAGCTGGCAGGTGGGAATGCAGACACATGAATGGAGGAAGCTATTGGATATAATTCGCAGCCTCAGGCAGAAGGGAACCTGGACACAAGCACCGGGCCCGAAGCATGCCTTCATCTTCTAGCTTGGAACTAAGTCCAAATTGCTTACCAAGGACAAGCTTATGCATATGAAGATTGACCAAGTTTACTGTTTTGTTGGCAAGAATAATGAGAAAGTACGACATCTCTTTTTCACCTTTTATTTTATCGCTTTCGTTTGGCAACATATTAGAGTTTGGCTTGGAATTAAGAGATCTATGTCTACATTACCAAGTGCACTGAAATAGATTAAGAAGGAGGCTCGAGGTACAACTTAGCAAAGTGAGGTGAAGCAGATTGCACTTGCTAGTATCGTTTACCATTTATGGACGGTATGGAACCGAATTTTTTTTTTGAGGATCTTAGACTGCAATTTGATTCCATAGTTAGACGAATCAAAACACACATATACAAAGTTATGTTTTCTTTGTATCCGAATGTTTTGATTCAATATGAGTCTATGGCAATTGGCAGCTAGATCTTATCGTTTGTACATCTTTTCATTTCATTTGCCCGAGAATGCCCGGAGTACTTTTATGTGTTATTCATTTGTGATTTTGCCCGAGAATGCTTGGAGTACTTGTATAACGTATGTCATTTGTGATTTGCCCGGGAATGCCCAGAGTACTTGTACATGGTTTTGATCAATATAATTTATTTTTACCTGTTAGGTTTTAGTTTATTTTGTAATTGGCAAATTCTGTGAAAAAAAGACTTAATTTGATAGATTGTAATAGTTTAGGGAGTAATGTGCAATTTGTTTAAAAGTTAGTTAAATAGGTATAGGGTTTCAAGTTTGGAACAAGGAGGAAAACGGCGCAAATTTTCACTGGACGTCACCAAAGGTTGACTCGTGCTACAAAAGCAGAAACATCATCGCTAGACAGTCATCTTTTCTTCGCTCAAGCGATGCTTTATACGAAAATTTTTTATTTCGCATTTTAAAGGCTTTTTTCTCAGTCTATTATTTTTTTGGCCTATCTATATATACCAGAAAACGAGCAGAACGTTTTTCTTAAGGTTATTAATTGAAAGAGCTTCATCTGTGAGAGATCTAATCATTCCATCATTCAACCTTCATATTGTGTGAGTGTTTTTGGTCAGAAAAACATGAGATTCAACATCAAAAAACGAAAAACCAAAATTCCTACATATCTATCAGAGGTGCTGAAGATCGAGGAAGGCGATTGGAGTTCCAGTTTGTGAAAAATAGGTTGTTCTTCGCGATCCACATGAGATAAGTGATTCTACCAAGCTAGGGACTGTTGTATGATAGCGGAGTTTCAGAAGAGCCTTGGTTATTGCAGCTGGAATTGGTGCAAGGGAGCACATAATTCAGGAGAGCTATCAGAATTGCAGTCAGGTGATCAGATAGTTCGTGTCATCGTCTAGTCTGGTAGACTATAAGTACATAATGGTTTATAGTGGATTGACTGGCAAAATGCTCGGAGTTTTTCCCAGTTGGGTTTCTCCGTGAACAATTCTTTTGTTCTTTACTTCCTTATTATTTATTGTTTATGATATGCAAACTGCGTTAATTCAACATAGGATAATTTGACTTGCATCATTAACCATCTAGATAAGAATTAAAAGTGACTTGTTGCTGTTTAATTCGTAATTATTTTTAATTCCGCATAAAATACTTATTCACCCTCTCTAGGTATTGTTAGGGTCAAACTTGCATTTTTTAATTGGTATCAGAGCCTTAAATCAATTCTTGGCCCTTTTTGTTAATTCTAGAAGAGTCGGTCCTTGTTTGTGCTTCCGTTTTTCGATGGAAGCAATTATGCCTATTGGAAAATTTGAATGAGAGCTCTTCTAAAGGCTTTGGATGAACGTATTTGGATAAATGTGAAAAATGGGCTGGGTCTGCCGACAACTACTGTTGAAGGTGTTGTCACACCTACTGACATCTCCCTCTGGTCGAAAACCAATCTTGATGACTATAATTGGAATAGTAAGGGCCTTCATGCCCTGTTCATGGCTGTGTTTGCTAAAGAGTTTAGCTGTGTATCGATGTGTGAAATTTTTAAGGAAGTTTGGGATATTCTAGAAACCACACACAAGGGAAATAAAACTGTTAAGAACTAAAAATTGTAGATGTTAACTACTAGGTTTGAAGAGATAAGGATGGCTGATGATGAGAAATTTGATAATTTCTATGCTAAACTGAATGGCATAGTCAATTCGAGTTTTTATTTAGATGAGAGGATTCCCGAGTCAAAAATTGTTAGAAAAGTCCTTAGATCACCACCCAAGAGGTTCAGACCTAGAGTTACTGCAATTGAAGAGACTAAGGACTTGGATGCTGTTAAAATTAAAGAACTCTTCAAACTTACAAATTCACTGTTTCACAACCTAAAAGGGTTAAATCCATTGCCATAAACAATGTTAGAGAAGCTGAGAGTGAGTCCACTAACACTAAGACCCTTAGGAACTACGCAATTGCTTATTTCATTAAAAAATTCCAGAAGGTGATGAGGAATATGAGAAAGCCTCAAGAGTGGAATAGTGATGTCCCTAGTAAACTTTCGAAAGGTAGTCGTGATAAGAACACCTATCGGACTCCCATTAAAAAATCTCAATATGTCCAATACCATGAGTGCAAGGGGTTTGGTCACATTAGGAGTGAATGTCCTAATTTGAAGAGAAGTTCGGGTAGAGAATGTCGTAAGGCTTTAGCTGTGACCATGAGTGATGAAGAGTCGGGTTCCAGTTCTCATGATGAGACATCTAGTGGTGAAGATGAACAAAATTACATGGCCTTCAGCTCGATTATTGTAATCGAATCTGACCATAAGATTGAGAAGGGGGAATGGAGGATGAGAATGAACAACCTGATGAAGAGTCCTTAAGTGAGGAAGATATCCAAGATGCTTATGATAAGATGTATGAAGAGAGTTTTAAGATTCTTACTAAAAATGAAGCCTTGAGTGCGAAGAATAAGGAACTTGAATTAGAAAATGAGAATTTAGTAGCGCACATTAAGGAATCTACCTCGATTCTGAGTGAACTGAAATCCATGAATGAAACTTCAGAGACTCAGGTTAAGAACCTCACCAGTAAGCTTCAGAAGTCCATTAAGAGAGTTAATGAGTTGACCATTGAGAGAGAGACTTTAGAAATTCAGGTTAAGAACTTCTGAGCGATCTAGAGTACTCTAAGTCTCAACTGCTTGCCTTCTCTAGTGGTTCTGAAAATTTGGATAATATTTTAGAAATAGGCAAGCCGGCTGGAAATAAGGAAGGGCTAGGTTTTAAGGATCAGAGTGTAAAACCACATTTGTCTTTGCCACTGTCTAGTCTAAATATGTGCCTAACCCCGATCTTAAGGATAAGTGATTTGTTAGACAGAGACCTACTTGACAACGTAGGACTCGTCGACCTAGGAATAGACGTCAGCGTCCACATAACATTGGTCCTAGGTTTATCCCCGCATGTTTTCACTGTGGTAAGTTATGACACATTAGACCTAGATGTCATCAATTCCTGAATAGACAAAGAATCAAGAGCTTTGATAAGAATAGAAATCAGGAGTTTGTTGGTCAGATTGAATTCCTTACTAATCAAGTGAGTCATTTGACCAAGTTGGTGACACACTTGTCTGGGAATGTTCCTTTTACTAGGCAAGTTTGGGTGAAGAAAAGTGATTTGGAAAATCTTGATATAGATTATGGTGCTCTTAAAAGTAAGAGCATTTACATATCTCACTAATTAGGTATTTTTATGCATGCTCATGCTTTATCTTCATGTGACATTGAGTTATGCATGCATCATGTTTATGGAATTATTTGTTCTCATAAATTTCTATTTTCTGTTTTTGTGTTTTATTTGTGTGAGTTTTCTTTTCCTTCGTGCATTCACGTTTTAATTGAAACAAAAAAACAAACAAAAACAATTTTTCATTGTAACGATTTTACAAGTTTTTTTGGATTTTTTTAAAAACAAAGGAGAACAAAAAATTTTTGTTGCAGGACATTGTTTTACAGCATGAGTTTTAAGATTCTTACTAAACATAAAGCCTTGAATGCCTATGGTCATCTGCGTTGGGTCAACCGATCTAAGGCTCGTTACATGGGTCATAGTAGTCGTTTAATGAAAAGGAGTCTACACTTAAGATAAATAAAAATATGTGAGCATTCTTTTTGAAAGTTGTGACAAAAGAAACATATTTATACTGTAAGTCAGGGGGAGACAAAACATTCTTCAAAAGACATTGTTCATTAGAAATGAGCTTTCATATATAGGTTCTAATGTGCTATATGATTTGACTT